TGTGTGCATGCACACACAGGTGCTTTTCCTCTGAAGTGGCCAGTGCTGAACCTCTGCTAGCATTTTATCAGTGGGGTGAAAACCCAGATCCATGGCTGAGTCAGACAGGAAGAACATGATTTTCTTTAATAGCTGCAACACATTGACAGAGACATTTGGAGAGCACTAATACATTCTAGGGTAATGACCAGATGTAAAATAATTTAACACCCAAGAGAACTTAGTCTCACAACTGATGCTTCAGAGCACATCATGACAGATTCAGAGCCTTCATGACAGATTCAAACCCCCTTTCTATGAATTAGTAGTTGTGTGATATTTGGCAGGTTAGATACATTCCATAATATTTACTTCCCCAATCAGTTAAGAGTAATAATACCTGTTATGCAACATTTTTGTGAAAAAAGGATAGTGTAATCTTAAAAGCTTTTGCCATATTTTCTGACATATACTCAACACTTGATTTCTATTTTTTGTTGCCACTATTAATATACATGTAAGATCTTAATACCTTAGAACAAGATTCTAATGTCTCAAAATGTTTATCCTCTTTTTCCTATATTTAACCCAACACAGGTATGAGATCATCTAAGTATTTTTTAAAATTTTATAATTGTTGCAGATTTTCAGAAAAGTTGAAAAGACCATACAGAGAGTCCATGTATGCCCCTTACCCAAATCCTCCTATTGTTAACATCTCACATTATTATGGCCCATTTGTTACAATTAAGAAACATTTAGATATCATGACTCCTTAACCTCTTCTGATCTATGAGAAATCGTCAGACTTGTTTTTGATGACCTTGACAATTCTGAGGAGTACAGGTCAAATGTTTGGCAAATATACCTCATTTGGGTTTGTCTAATGTTTTTCTCGTGGGTAGACTGAGGTAATGGGTTTTTGGGACAAAACCATAGAGAATGCCTTTCTCATGAAGTGATGTCAAAGGTGCATACCATCAATGTTACTTGATCACCTGGCTGAGATGTTATTTATTGAGTTTCTCTATTATAAAGTCACTCTTTTCCCCCTTTTCCGTACAGTACTCTTTAGAAGCAAATCACTAAGTACAACCCATTCTTAAGGGGTAAGGGAGGAGAGTTAAGCTTTGCTTCCTTGAGGAAGTGTACCTACATAAATTATTTGGAATCATACCTAAGAGTGATTCGTTTCTTCTCATCCATTTACCTGTTTATTCAAATATACACACACTATGTAAATTTATGTAGTGAATAATACATTATATGTGGTATGTGTATTTGAAGTATACACTATATATACACACTATATACACATACGTTACATGCTGTAGACTGTGTATTTATATACATATACGTGTGTGTATATATATATATGCATACACACACACACACACACACACACACACACACACACATACATCAGTATTGATCTACACTCTAATCATGTCCTGGCATACTTTAAGTTAAGGTAAACAGCTTATATAGTCTTTGCTATAAGACCTTTTTAGGGATATTGTCTGTAAATTAGGGTAAAACTACAGAGTCAGGGCAGGGTAGACCAACAAAATCAAGTTCAGGTGTTAGGAAATACTGATTCAAGGCTTTGACTCTGCTCACGAGCCACACAGCCTTTGTTAAATCAGTTTCCTCCTTGAAATTGATTTTTCTCATCTGTGAATGGAGCTATAAATACTCAGCCTTCTGTTGTAAAGTATCACATAAAATAATAAATATATATATAAATTCTTTGAACCCTAAACACTTCAAAGAGAATATAAAATTATATTTATTACTAGTAATATCAATCACATCCATATCCAGTGTTTAAAGTGATGAAAAAAGGAGAAGTGATATAAAAGGGCTCTTTAGAAAGTTTTTGTGTTAACTTTAAATGAGTGATCTCATCAGAATTTTATCTCAGTGCTGGCATCTTTTTGCTATCCTGTTGTTTTCTCGGCTAGTTTCCATTTGAAGTGTGCTGAGTAACGCCACAGTGGCAGTCACCAGCCATATGCGGTTATTAAATTTTTAATTAATTAGAATTAAACAATTTAAAATTCAGTTCCTGATCATATTAAACACATTTCAAGTGCTCAAGAGCCATATGTGGCTGGTGGCTGTAGTGTTCCACAGCATAAGTACAGAACATTTCCATCATCCCAGAAAGTTTTATTGGATGGTGTTGTCATTGAGACTCACAACTTCCTTTCCTCTTGGTCTTGACTTCCTTCTTCCTACTCCCTATCACAAATTGACTTCTTTGTGCCGCTATCCTCTGCTATCACCTTCAGAAAGTTTACAGGGTCCTTTGTAAGTAAGTTCATAGATGTACCCCTTTGTTCAAGGTCAGACCCCATCAAGCAGTAGCAGCAAATAGGATACTTACTGTCAGCAGTCCCGTGAATTATTAATATATTTTCTTCTTTTAAGCCATGAATATTATGGAGGACACTGGATGCCTATAAGGAAAGCACAAATATCTCTATATAGATCTACTTATATTTGTAATTTGACTGAATTTTTAGAACAAGTATACTCTTTCTTGATTATTTTAAATTTTGTTACCTGGTATGTGCTTTCTTCCCTAGATGGCATACCAAGATATCTTTCAGAGAATGCTGAGGCTGTGACCCAAGAAAACAGAAATTTTAGAATTTAAAAATCATTTGACTAGCTTATTTCATTATTTGATTTCTACATTTCATATGTTCCAGTAAAATTGATTGAATCAGTGAGGTGATAAACAGCTGAAAACATCTCTGATAGCACACAATAAGTGAGGTCAACTGAGCTCTTCTGCATTGGGATTTTCTTTTTCCTCTCTCTCTCTCTCTCTTTTTTTTTTTTTTTTTTTTTAACAAATCAATACATTAGGTCAATTTGTAGGAAGTACTCACCATACAACTTCAAGTCTGTGATGGGTGCAATCACTGATCCACATTTAAAAAGCTTTTCATCTGATTTTAAGATCATTGATGCAATATAGCCACCATACCCCTGGCAAAATTAAAAAAAAATAATAACGCGTGTGTTGTGTGTGTGTGTGCTTGCGTGTGTGTGTGTGTGTGTGTGCGCACGCATCACTTATCCCTGGAGATAATTTTAGCTTTTGATCACTATTTGGTAATATGCATAACAGAATGTCTTCTGATGTCTCAGACTTGAGGAAAGAATACGGTAAGATACACTTTGTACAGCTGAAAAAGGAAAATAATTTAAAATTTTAACAAGCTATTTTAATAACTTTAGGGAAAATATAAAATTAATTATATATCACCAGTGTCCAATGTTTGCTCTCTCATCTCATGTAGTATATTTGGGAACAACTCCAATTCATTCAAAGCTAGGGAAATATAGCCCTTATTAACTCATACATCATTTTCAGCAAATTACATATGTATATTTAGTGAAATATTTAAAAATGATGGTTATGTAGAAATAGGAAATAAGAATTAAATATTTATAATCTATTTTCACAAATACAGATTCTGCTTTCAGTCCCACACAATTCACTATTTGAATGAAATGAGATTGATAAATAATATTACTACTTACGTGAGTTGGATTATTTTTCAAATTTAATTTTTAAATGTCCTCCTGCAAAGCTTTTGAACTAATTTAAATTCTTTTTTTATTTTTTTATTAAAATTTTTTTTTAACGTTCATTTATTTTTGAGACAGAGAGAGACAGAGCATGAACGGGGGAGGGTCAGAGAGAGGGAGACACAGAATCTGAAACAGGCTCCAGGCTCTTAGCTGTCAGCACAGAACCCGACGCAGGGCTCGAATTTACGGACCGTGAGATCATGACCTGAGCCGAGGTTGGCTGCTTAACCGACTGAGCCACTCAGGCACCCTGAACTAATTTAAATTCTTAAAAAAAAATCAAGATGTCCAGTTTTCTTTTGTAGTCCATGATTTGTCCAGGAAAATTCCATAAGAGATTTTAACAATTTAATAGATTTGGGCTAAGGGGAATGACCTACTGAGTTATATATTCATTTTATAAATTAATTTTTAGCTGTACTCTGAGCAGTGTTCTTCATCTTGCCAGATATCAGAGTATCCCGGGAGATACAAAAACAATGAATACCCAGGCCTTAGCCTCAGAAATTCTGATGTAATTCGCTCATGATGAGGTCTACTTTAAAGATTACTAGATGATATTAGTGTTGTCCTATGCAATAGTAATCTGCTATCTTCACTAAATTCTTGAGATGTGAAATACAGAATCTCATTTATGCTTATTTGGACTATTTAAAAATTGGGATGATTGACATCAAAGTCCTAAATGCAGTCAGAGATTACCGAAGTATCTGAGAGAACAAAGAGTAGCAGAATATGCCACCCCAAAATACGCCACTTTGCCTATTGATTATTTTGAGCTGCAGGCACTTGGAGAATAACAAATGACAGGGAAAGCCTTTCTCTGAACTCCCACTACCTGCCTAAAGACAGATCCTCCAGAAAGAACTCAGTTGTCATAGATCCCCTTCCTGGGAGTGTCATCAACTAAGGAAGATTGACTCTTGTCACTAGAAGTCCACAACACACCCAGAGAGATTGTCACAAAGTATCACATTTCCTATCTGTTCTTCTAAGGGCCCATTCATCTTTGCTAATAATCAGTCTCCTAAAAGGCCTATATCCCACTCCCCTTTCCCTATTAAGATGGTATGTAAGCCTGAATTCTAAACTCACCTGAGAGAGTTACTCACTTTACCTGGGTATGTCCCATGTATACATGCGTGAGGTGTACATGTCAATAAACTTCTGTTGTTTTTCTCTTGTGGATCTGTCTTTTATTACAGGGGTCTCAGACAAGAGTTCAGAAGGGTACAGGGAAAATGATTTTTCATCCTTTGCCCATGTCCGTTTTGTCCTAGATTAGTTGGCTAGTACCCAGAAGCTTGAGCAAAGCTTCTCCAACAATTGGGAACTAAGGGATGTAAAATTATCCTTTATAGACGTAAGCCATCACAGAGTGCCTTTACTCATTCTTTTTGTAAGATATAAAAATATCCTTAGGTCAGCAAAATTCAGAAGTAGTAGGCTTAAGAGTGTTAACACATATAAAGAAAGAAGTGGAAAGGAAGAACAATTTCCCTCAATCCTCTGAATTCATTGCTGATGCCTTGTAATAAAAGATTATCAAGAGAAAAAACAATTGGGGTGGGTGCCTGTGTGGCTCAGTTGAATGTCCAACTTTTGATTTCGGCTCAGGTCATGATCTCACAGTCATGGAATTGAACTGGGCATA